GTGTTTCTTCCTTTGTATTAGATGGATCTGCTATTCTTCCTGGTCTAGAGCATAATGACTTTATGAAGAAGGCATCTTGTGATGCTCAGAAGCTCAAGACTCCTTACTGTCCAGTTCCTGGTTCTCCTTTGCAGTGGAGCCCCAGTTGCTCTTGGTGAGCAATGGGTGGTACTGCCTATGTGTCTTCTGTCTGTGGTCTGAATCCACTGTTGTTGGCAGTTTGCCTCAGCTGGCCCTTTGTGTTCAGAGCAATGGCTTATGCTGGCATGCTTGTGGGTGGTGCTGCCCTCTGCCTGCTCTTCAGTGATGATGTGGATGGCCTGCAGTGAAGGCAGGGCAGTTGCATGGCTCTGGAGCAGGGCAGGGCATGGCAAGTAGCAAGGTAGCAGAGTGCACTGCAGCAGCAAGTTGCACTGATGCCCCTAGTGGTGGTGTAGGATGCAGCACCAGGCTTGGCCTCCTGTGGGGAGAAAGGAGCTCTTGGAGCTGGCTCCTGCAGGTGCCTCCTTGGTAAGGCTGAGATAGGGCTGTGAAAGCTGGGAGAGCCTTCCTCTGCCTGCCAGGCAGCAAAGTCTGACTCAGCTGCACTGAGTGGGCTGGCATGCCAGTGGTGCACAGGGGAGTGCCTCAGGGCCAATCTGCCAACAAAGGGGATGGAGTTTCTGGGGCTTCTGAGAGTGCCTGAACTGTTGGGCGAAGGGAGGGCTGAGGAGGTATATCCACCTGTACTTTCTCCTGAAGAGAGAGCTATATTCAACCCTCACCCCTCTGGCACCCCTCCAACTGCTGGCAAGTCTTTAAAACTGCCACCTCTGCTTTGGGTCTCAGCAGGACCAGTAGAGTGTGCCTGTCCTCCACAAGCAACTGGAGTCTCAGTTCCCAGAGTGTTCCAACTGCCCCTGGTGTCCAGCCCTACTAAACACCAGAACCCAATGCAATGTGGACTTGTGCTCCCAGAGGAGATCTCTGGGGCCAGGTGTGCGGTGTTTCTGGGCACCTATCCCATCCATGCCCTATTCCTCTTCCTCCAGCCTGTGGGCTGGGATGAGAAAAGGGGTTGGGTCCCACTCAATCACAGCTCTGCCACTTTACCGTTTTCTTTGTGGTCTTCTCTTTTTTCCCAGGTGTAGGTAGTCTGCCCCGCAATTTTCAGGTCATTTTTGGGTTTAGTTGTATTTGTTGTAGTTGCTTCCTTGGTGTGTTTGTGGGAGGAGGTTTCCACCTTGCCTTTCTACTCCGCTGTCTTTCCTCCCAGAATCTAAGAGTATGTTCTTTAAATCCCAAATATTTGGAGGATGCCTACAATCTATTATTGTTACTGATTTCTTGTTTATTTCATTTTGGTCACAGAATATACTCAGTATAATTTCAATCCATTTAAATTTATTGGTACTCATTTTTTGGTCCACTGTATGATCTATTTTGGTGTTTCACACACTTGAAACACTTGGTGCATTTTACAGTTGTTGGATATATTGTACTATAAATATCAATTAGGTCTCAAGGTGATTGATAATATTGTTCAGATTATCTATGACTTTACTGACTTTTTTTCCTAGTTGTTTCCTAGTTTAGCAGGGTGCTAAAGTCTGTAACTTTGTAAAATAGTCTATTTCTCCCTTTATTTGTGTCAAATTTCACTTTATTCATTTTGGAGTTCTGTTATTAAGTGAATGCATATTTATGTTGTTATGTCTTCCTAATAATAACTATAATCCTAAACTATCATTATGAAACAGTCTTCTTTATTCTGGTAATACTCTTTTTCTTGCAGTCTATTTTATCTGATTTTAATATAGTCATCCTAGCTTTCTTATGCTTACTGTTTTAGATATTTGTTTTTTTCATCCACTTTCTTTCTATGGCTTCATAGTTAAAGTGCACTTCTTATAGATAGTATGTGGTTTATGTTTCACTTTTTTTATCCAGCCTGAAAATATTTGCCTTTGGATTAGAGTGTGTAGTCCTTTAACATTTAATGTAATTTTTGATATGGTTGAATTTAGGACTACCATTTAATTTTATTTTCTATCTGTCCTTCTGTTTTTTGTTCCTCCTTTCCTGTTGCCTTTTGGTTTATTTTAATATTTATTACTATTGAATTTATTTTTTGCTGGCTTTTTAGATCTATCTATTTGCATTATTTTCTTAATGGTTGCTCTAGAGATTGCAATATCCATCCTTACATTTTTGCAGTCTACATAGAGGTGATAGTGTACCACTTCTTGTACAATAGAAACTTTGACTATACATATCCATTTACATCCTCTGACCTTTATGTTATAGTTGTCACATATATTACATCTAAGAAGATCAGAAACTCCATAAGACAGTATTATAATCATTGCTTTAAAGAGTCCTGTGAAATTGAGAGAAGAAAATAGTCTTTTATATTTACCTAAATATTTAGCATTTTCAATGCTCTTCATACCTTTCAGGTCAGAGTTTCATCTGGTAACATTTCCCTTCAATTTGACCAAATTCACTTAAGAGTTTCTTGTAACACAAGGTCTTATGGTGATGAATTTTCTTAGTTTTCATTTATCTGAAAATGACTTTATTTTGTCTTTTCTTAAAATATATTTTTGTTTACTATAGAATTCTAGATTGGCGGCATTTTCCCCTCAGCCTTTAAGATGTTCCACTTTCTTCTGGCCTCCATATTTTCAGGTCAGAAGTCAGTAATAATTTGAATTATTGTTTCTCTGTACGTGATATATAATGTGTCATATTTCTCTGGCTGCTTTTAATTTTGTTTTTTTGTAGTTTGACTATTATGTGCATAAGCATGTTTTTCTTTGTAGTTACCCTGCTTGAGGTTTGCTGAGCTTCTTGAATCTGTAATGTTATATCTTTCACCAAATTTGGGGGAATTTCCACTATTATTTCTTTAAATATTGTTTCATCACCATTCTCTCTTTCTTTCCTTTTGCAACTCCAATTACATGTATCAAAAAGTTTTGGTTCTGCCCCACAGGCCCCTGAGACTCTTTAAGTGTTATAATCATTTTACTATTTGTTCTTCTGATAGAGTAGTTTCTATTGATACATCTTCAAGTTCACTGACCTCTCTCATCTTCATGTTACTACTGAACCCATCCAGTGCAATTTTTAAAATGTTGATATTGTTTCAGTTTTAAAACATTTTTTGGCTTTTGTTTCTCTGGTGTTATTTCATCTTTTTGCATTAATTGCAAGCATATTTTCTTTTAAATACCTGAGCATAGTTATACTAGCTACTTTAAAATTCTTATCTGCTAACTCTAACATCTGGGTAATTTCAGGGTTGGTTTCATTGATTGCCTTTTCACTTGAAAATAGTCACATTCATTCTTTCTTCACATATGGGGTAATTTTGGATTATGTCCTGGGCATTGTGAATGTTATGTTGTGGAGACTATGGATCCTACTATATTACTCTGAAGGTGATTGATTTTTGTTATACCAGGCAATTAACTTAGTTGGAATCAAACTCTAGATTCTGTCTCTTGGATGACAGTTCAAATCCCAGTTAAGCTCCTTTATCCTTAGCTGGAGCCTTTTCTGCACATGTGGTTCAGAGGTTAAGCAGAGTTAATGTTCAGAATTTTGGGTCCCCCTCTCCAGCTCTTTCTTTTCCAGGATTCCTGGAAGTGGCTTCAACCTTCAAGTGGCTGTGTTTCCCATGACCTTTGTTTTCTGTTTTTTCAAGCCCCTAACTGTAGGTTTTCTAGCAGAGCTTTGCGTGTCCTTCACAGCACAAATTTCAGCCTGCTACCAGGTTAAAAGCTGTAAAAACAGGTAACTCACTTTGTGGTGTTACCTTTTTCCAAATATGCCTGCTTTTCTACATTTTCCAGTATCTTCAAGTCATGGTTATTTTGTATAGTTGTTATATGCAGGAAGGTCAAGTCCATTAGGTGCTGCTCAGCCATACTGGAAGCAGGTGCTGACTTCCCATTACATTTTGGTTGCATCTGGGGCTTCTTGTTATAGACCATGGTGGAGAAATGAGTCAACCATTCCCTATCATATTCTCTGTACCAAACTGCTTACATGTTGAAGCTAAATCACAATCTCTCCATGGTACTCAATTGCACTAACAGAGTTTATTTGTGCCAAGAGAAAAGCCATATGACTTTTGAGTTCACAAGTTATTTTCAGAACTATTATGAACTTTCAACTCCCCATGATATACCCTATCTAGAGAATAGTTCCTTGAAAGGCAGCATAAATAATTGGGAAAATGTGGGCCCAAATCACATATATCTTTGTTCAACTACATCCCAGCCATCTCAGCTGTGTGACCCTAGACAAGTCATTCAATCTCTCTAGTCTTCCATTTCCTGATTGAATACAACACACCTTCAGAGTTGAAAAAAGGACTAAATGAGATAATGCACGTAGGGATGTACCTTATTTGGCCTAGGAGAGTCCAGGTCAAAACTGTGGACCCAGCTTATTGATGAAACTCCTTTTGCTCTCAAAAATGTTCCAGGACTTATCAAATGCTATTACAAATCAAATCAGCAGTTCTTAGGATCGTGAACCTCTAGCAAAATTCCTAAAGCCCAATGCCTCACTTTTTAACAAAAGCATTGCTCAATAACCTGTGGGGCAAATGTCTAATGCTATAGTATTGGAGGTTTTTTTGTTGTTCTGTTTTTTCCCTCTCAGAACTGTACAGGAGAAGATGCCCTGCTTTCAAAGACTGGCCTTTATTTCTGAGAATCATGGCGAATCACCTAATTTGTCTTTCCCCTTTCCACATCTATAAATACCCAAGTGGAAGCAGATCAAAGGAAGAAAAACTCAGGATAGGTTTAGAAAGGAAAAGGTGGTGTGCACGTGTGTGTGTGTGTGTGTGTAAAAGCTGTAGCATTGCTTGTGGAGCTGGTTCCCACCCTTTGGCCTTCTGCATGATACTCCAGGGTTGAGGCAGAGTCTGGGCTGGGAGTTTGGGGGGTCTTCAAGCTGAGGGACGATGACTCCAGTTTTCATTTCCTGGTTTTTCTTGGCAGATACACCTAGGCGAAGTCCCTCTGGGGAGGGTTTTGGCTTCCATATATTTGCCTAAATCACTGAAGGAAAGAATTCCTCTTAGCAATTTACAGACCATCTTGTTTAATTTCTTTGGCCAAACTTCACTTTTTAAGGTAAGTTCTTGGCTCTGGTAACTGTTGTGGACTGACATACAGTGACTCATTGTAATTATGACCTCTTGCTATTTTCATGATGTTCTCTTTATTTTAGAATATGCTATCTGGTTTATTCCACAAATCTCCTAGCACAAACCCTGGCCCACAACACAAATCAATGTATACTTTAATCATGTTCCACAGTTTTTAATTTTCACAGCTTCTCAGCTTTGGAAGGGACCTTAAGGATTATCTGGTGACCAAACAAGCCTCAAGATGCCTTAAGGCCAGAAAAGAATAGCAAATTCTCCTGATGAAATACTGTTCTGGTTGGTCAGTGCTTTCCTCCCAAATCTCCCCTGGCTCCTCAAAGCCAACATACCTACTCTTTGGGGCCAATTTATTTTAAAGCTGAGGGGTGTCCAGCAGGCCATCTGCCTGTGGGCATTTGTTGCTCCTTCCCACCACCTCCACAGAACCTTCTCTGAGGGCTCCAGTCCTCACCCATTATTGAAACAGAGAGAGGCCGTATGATGCAGAGGTTAAGGGCATGGACTCGGAGGCCAGACTGACCTGATTTACAGCAGGTTATGCCACAGTGTACCTGTGTGACCTTGGGCAAGTTATTCAACCTGCATGTGCCTTAGTTTCCTCCTATGTAAAACAGGGGACTAGTAGTACCTCACTGGGCTGTTAATGAGGTTAACTTATATAAAACATAACTTTGTATGTTAATACATATAAAGTGCTTGGAATATGGCCCAGTGCATAATAAATACCATGTAACTATTTGCATTACTGTTATTTGCCTATCTTAGGACTCTGCCTAACAAAAGGCCTGTGCCTTTAGCCCACTCTGTCCCATCTAGCTGTTGAGAAGACAGCAGAGTTAGCAGGAAGTTGTGTTGGTGATGATCATTATTAATTGTTACTATTTCCACTTAGTCTTTCATTTATTTCTCATGAGAAACCATGACTCAAAGAATGCTGTGGTCTGAATGTGTCCCTTCAAAGTTCACGTGTTAAAATCCTAAGCCCAGAGATGGTAGTATTAGGAGGTGGACCTTTGGGGAGTGATTAGGTCATGAAGGTAGAATCCTCATGAAAGAGATTAGTGTCCTTATAAAAAGCCCAGAGAGCTTGCTCGCCCCTTCTTCCATGTGAAGGCAGAGCAAGAAGATGCCATCTGTGCACTGGAAAGTGAGCCTTCACTAGAACCTGACCACATAGGCAATCTGATCTTGGGCTTCAAGTCTCCAGAACTATGAGAAATAAATTTCTGTTGTTTATAAGCCACTCAGTTTGATATTTTGTTTAGCTGTCCAAATGGGCTAAGACAAAGAGGTTACACAACTAGGAAGTCGCATAGCTAGGAATCAAACCCAGGCTGTCTGATCCTACAAAGTTCATGTATTTAAGGAGGTCCATATATTAATGCCCAGGTATATTTCCATTTTCTAAATAAGTTGTCCAAAGAAATGAATTTCTAATGGTCAAATATTCACAGAGTTATTTTAGGGGGGTTTGTACTGGGCCAACTTAAATGTACCACATACCCATGTCACATACCAACTCAAATATAACACATTATCCCCAGGAATGTCATTAAGATGTTCCATTGTGAAATTCTCTAGCCATTCCCCTTTCTATCTAAATTTAACCTGTTCCTGTGGGCATAGTTCAAATCCCAGGAAGCCTACCAGGAGTTCATGATCCCCTGCTCTCCTTCCCACTCTGTATTCTTGTGTTACACTTCTGCCTAGATTCTAGACCAGTTTTGCCAAGTAGGTTGTGGCATATATCATGACTCAAACATGTTTTATTTTCATGGCACCTAGCACAGAGCAAGATGCCCAGCATGTTTTCAGTAGTGATAGATCGATAGATGATAGGTAGATAGATAGATAGATAGATAGATATAGATAGATAGATAGATAGATAGATGATAGATAGATGGATAGATGAATATAGACAGATAGACAGATAGATATAGATAGATAGATGACAGATAGATATAGATAGATGATAGATAGATACACAGATGATAGATGGATATAGATAGACAGATAGATATAGATAGATAGATAGATAGATAGATAGATAGACACATATAGATAGATGATAGGTAGATAGATAGATAGATAGATAGATAGATAGATAGATAGATAGATGATATATAGATATAGATAGATATAGATGATAGATAGATAGATAGATAGATAGATAGATAGATAGATAGACACATATAGATAGATGATAGGTAGATAGATAGATAGATAGATAGATGATATATAGATATAGATAGATATAGATAGATGATAGATAGATAGATAGATAGATAGATAGATAGATAGATAGATAGATAGACAGATAGATAGATTTTTAGGCCTTATTTTAGTGGGAAAAATTAGGTTGGACCCTGAACAAGCCAGTTAATGAATACAAATTTTAATAAAAATTAAGAATGTGGCTCATAGCACTCTGACTCTTTCGGTAAGCTTGTAATTTCCCCGTATCATCTGAGATGCCATTATTTTGGTCTTAATTTCCCTTCATTCTTCAAAGAGCTGTACTTGTTTCATAGAATAAAAGATAAAATTGTTTTGCATAGATTTCATATTTAATGCATAATTTTTATTCACTAACATTTTCCACGGAAAGGAATTAAAGATTTTTGCCAAAATTAGCCTTCAGATATCATAGTAGCAGATGAAGAAGGATTTTGCCATCAAATTCAAAACTGGAAGGACTTTTATAACTCACAGTGTTCCATCCCCTCACTTTACCAGTGAGGATATTGAGACACAGAGCAGGGGAGGTACCTGCTGGAGGTAACACCATTTAGTCATTTATTCATGCAATTATTTATTCAGTCAGCAAATATTAATTGAATTCCTTCTATGCGTCTTCTGTGCCAATGATGCTAGGGATGCAGAGGTAAGCAGGAGGGATGGGGTGCTGCCCTCGGGAACTTACAGTCTGATCGGGAAGGACAGACACTAAAGGTTCTATCACTGAAGGAAGCCCCCTGAGGCTGGGACTGTGCCACTGGCTACTGGGGAGTGAGAACTTACAAGAGATGCCACCCTTAAATTACCTTTCCCCTTGAGTCCCGAGTCTGACAGCCTTGCTTTCAATATCACACTGCTTCCAGAAACATCTTTTGATCAAAACATTACCTGTCATAAACTGAAGGAACAAAATAGCAGGAGACTCACACACCCCAAGAAGGAACTAGTGGTTACCAAAAGGGAGGGGTATGGGAGGGTGGGTGGGGAGGGAGGGAGAAGGGGATTGAGGGGTATTATGTTTAGTACACATGGTGTGGGGGGTCACGGGGAGAAGAGTGTAGCACTGAGAAGGCACATAGTGGATCTGTGGTATCTTGCTGCACTGATGGACAGTGACTGCATTGGGGTATGGGTGGGGACTTGATAAAATGGGTAAATGACGTAACCACATTGTTTTTTCATGTGAAACCTTCATAAGAGTGTATATCAATCATACCTTAATAAAATATTGAAAAAAAACCCACTACCTGTCATTACAACACACTACCTTCAAAATCTTTGATAAGAACCACTCTTGGAAAACACATACCTCGTCCCCCACCCCACCAGTGGCAGTCCTCCCAGAGAGGGACAAAGCACCAGGCATGTCCAACATGGCAGAGGGGCTCTGGGAGCATAGAGGAGGGCCCCTACCGTCATCTAGGAGATGAGGAAAGGCCTCGGGTAAGAGAAGTGCCAACTGAGACCCAAGGTTGAACGAGAGCTCAAAGACGAGACAGGGTGAGGAGAAAGCGGGAGGGGTGTTTGAGGCAGAGGGAACGGCTCCATAAAGATTCAGAGTGAAATAGAGTGTAAGGGGTGGAAGGATGAGAAATGATTTAGCTCCTCTGCCTGCATGGTTTCCATTTCATTCGTAAGGAAAATCAAGCGAGAGAACCGGTTAGTAAAATCCTGGCTCACTGTGTGTTTCTCCTCCTCTGGCCTTTCCAAAACTGTCTCTCTTAGACTAAGTCGGGAAGGCCCAGTTCTCGAAGGCCATGGGGCTTGGGAGTCTGAGGGCTTGCCATCCGCTGAAAGTGGCCCTGCAGGCTCCCCCTGGGAACGTCTGGGCTCAGCTCCTCTGCACTTTCTTGGCAAGTCCTCCGAGGATTTCCTTCCTCTTCCTCCTGCCTTTCAGCTGCTGCATCTCTTGTCTCTCAGCTGCCTTGCCTCCTGGACACTTGGCCTGTGGCACTTCGGGCCTGTTAATTAGCAAGTTCCACAATCTGAGGGCTACATTCTAGTTTGTTTCCTTCGAAGCGGCATTTATTAAGCATCCCTGCCCTATCATTCACTAGCTGTGTGACCTCTGTCCAAGCTTTTGAGCCTCCCCAAGACTCCGTTTATCTGAAAAAATGCCTCTATTGTTTCAGTGAGGGCTGAAGTTAGTGTATCTGCAAAGTGCTTAACACAGTAACTGGCTCACCATGCGTACAAGATAAAACAACTGCTATGTGCTAGGACATGCGGGGTCCGCCAGACACACACCTATGCTCTGGCCTTAGAGTTCATGGTCCCCTAGGGAGGAGATGACTGTCCTCAGAGACTTGTTCCAAGCTAGATGTTGATCATCCTGCTTCCATCTCCAGGAAGTGGCTTATAGCTAACCCGTGATGGATTTATGTTCCCTGTAGGGAGAGACTCCCTAAGAGTATGTAAAGGTGGTGGAGGGGGAGAACCAGGTAAGCTGTGAAATGTCAGGGCCCAGAGAGTTATCCAAGTAGGGAATAGTTTCACTTTGTTGCTAGTGCAGCACTGAGTAGCAGGTGCAAAACCAATGCTTGTTGGGTAGTTACTTGGGTGTGTGGCTGGATTCATGAATTGTTCTAGCTTGGTGTAATTGAGACCTTATGTGCAGACAAGAGATGAGCTAAATGACCTCTAAAAGTTTCTTCTTAGCTTGCCACTTTACTGCCCATATTTCTGCACCTAATGCTGTGTAGTACTTCAAAGTTCTAAATGAATCATTAACATGTGAGAAATTTAGGACCTGAACTGCTCTCCCCTTATATTTTTTATCTGTAGACCAAAAACATCACTGGAGCCTTAACCACGTATGTTGTGAGTGCCAGCATTTCAGATACATCCATTCAAAACTTGGCTGACCCAGTGGTTATTACTCTGCAGCATATTGATGGAAACCAGGTAATATATTCATTTTCATCTCAGAATAAAAAGGCCTCAGAAACATTCCATGATTTTCCTATTAAAAATAATTGGCTAGTTAACAGATGTGATTCTAAGGCTTAATGAAGACTGTCCCACTCCAGGTAGCAGAGGTGCATCATAATTGGGGCCTTCTAGAGATAATGCTTTATCTTAAAGGGATACCCAATAGTGGGCTTCTAGTACTATAACAGATTGGCAGAGGAGTGACTGGGGACAGGTGGATCTTTTGGTCGTCCCATCATACTAAGTGATATTTAATTCCATTTATTTTTGAGTGAGGCAAATAGCTTAACTCAAAATAATTGGACATTTTTATCCTTTGAATTTCCATGAAGAGCATTAAAATAGGTATTAATTATCACTAAAGGATTGAAACCATAGTCATATGGCATAACATAAGGTATATATTACTAAATGATCAAATTTAGCCATAGTATAAGAATGAACTACTATTCCATTCTTTCATGTTAATGCATGTCCAGTGTGAAGTCTTAACAGCTTCCTTCATTCCCAACCTACAAGACCATATGGTGCAGCGTATTTTTCACAGGTCTTAATTCTAGAAGGGAAGAAGGAAGAGTGGGAGAAGGAATTAAAAAAAGAAACCCAGAAACCAACTACAACATGTTAGATGGGTAAGATCTCTCAATTCCAACTGGGGCCACAGCTCTCCAAGCATCCCCCAATAACCAATCTCTCATTGGCTCCATTTCCTGGAGACTGTAGGAAATGGGGAGGCCTCAAGAATACTTACTAGGCCTAATGAGGAGGCAGCTTAACCTTGTATCCAGAAGGCTTGATCTCAGCTGTGAGCCCCAAATTCCAAAGTTCCAAGACGAACACCTCTACTCATCACACCTGCACTGACATGGGTTTTGCACCAGGAGGGTCTGGCAAATTCCTCTATTATGAAATATTTCAAAGGACACATACCAGATCACCATGCAGTAACATGCTGTTTTCACACTTGTAAACCCAACTTACTTGTGGTTAGTCTTAAAACCAACTCAAACAATGGTCTGTGCGTGTGTGTGCATCTGAAAAGTACATTGAGAAGAAAACTCTTGTGTGTAGTTGTCAGTGTGCAGTAACTACCACAAGGAAAGATGTTTACCTCTGATTTTTCTTTTTTCTAGATTTATGATCAAATTCACTGTGCCTTTTGGGACTTTGGGAATAACAGTGAGTATTTTTATTAACAAGCTTTGTCTTTGGCGCTCATTGAGATGTTGCCCCTGACCATTTTCCTATTTGGCAGTTGCACGGGAGGGAGTTGTACCTAAGCTACTGTCTTATCAGAACTTACAGAGAGCTCTGAGCAAGATACAAATGCGAGCTTTATATCTAATTAGGGCATTTAATTAGTTAATTTTTTTCTTTTTGATAAAAGACTTATTTGGGAGACCAGAAAAATCACATGACTCAGGGGTAAGCAAAGTTAGAAGAAAGAAAATTAGAATATCCAGTGCTAAGTAGCCTTGGCTTGTTTAAAGAAAGTTGAAGAATGAATGTCTAGCTCTTTTTCTGTGCTTCGCCATGGAGATTTGCAAGGAGGTCCAGACCATGATCTGGCTTGAGTGCAAAGTGCTTGAGACCATTTGAATTCTGGGTTGAACCAGTTGCTTCTGATGTTTGTCCCAGCCCCACCGAGTAGGCCCAGGTGTCAGCCTCTTCCTGTAGCTCATGTCCTTCAAAAAGTTCTAAATCTACCTGTTTCCTATTTATGCTACTTAAAAGCAGTCCGTACTGTGTCATCCCAGCATGGTGGCAGGACTGTTGCTGGTGATTAGAGTCTGTCTTAATCTGTAGAAGTATGGTGCAAGAACAGGAAAAGTGAGAGCAAAAGAAGTTATGCCATTTACAAAGTTCCCAGAAAGTCAATTTAGCCTATTAGACTTAATTTAATTTCAGTGATCAATTATACCTCTATCTTGCTCTCTTAACAACCAACGCTAATTATAACACACGTTCCGAAGGTGCATATAATGAAAAGGTAAATATTTCTGAGAAAAACGAAATTGCTTTGAAATTCCCTTCTGTCTCCTGCAGATGGGCAAGGCGGCTGGAATTCATCAGGCTGTAAAGTAAAGGAGACAAACGTAAATTACACAATCTGTCAGTGTGACCACCTTACCCATTTTGGAGTCTTAATGGTGAGTTGTCCCTTAATTGTTCCTTGATAGAATTTTGACAACCTTTATTAGATTATGGACCAGGAATATATGTGTGAACTAAGTCATGGAAAAGGGACATGTCACTGGAAAAAAGCACCCGCCCCCTTTTGTTTATCCAAGGTAGAGCAGATTGAAACAAGTATTTACGTTTCCCACAAAATTAATGCCTGCTCCTAAAAATTCAAATGTTACAGAGCAGGTCCCTGTAATCCCCTTCCCAAGAGATGACCACCTCTAACACCTTTCTGTGTAGTCTTTCAGATTCTTTTCCTATGTGTATATTTATATACATTTTGTTTTATAAAAATGGGATCAAATTATTCAACTGTTTTTACCACTTGATTTTCACCTAACAATATATATTAGACACCCTTCCCAGCAAATATGTACCCATCCAGTTCACTTTTTAAAAATACTTTTATAGTATTCCCTTGTGTAGATTTAACATTATGAATTTTTAACTAATCCCCTATAGGTAGGCATTTTAGTTGCTATAGTTTTTGTTGTAACATATATTTTTATTCATTTATCTTCCAACACTGGTGGAAGGATTTCTGTGGGATAAATTGATGGAAGTAGTATTGCTGGATTAAAGCATATGGTCACTGAAACATTTTTTAATTTTAATAGATATTGTCAAACTGCAGTGTAGGAAAGACGTGTATTTTAATACCTGCAGTACTTAACCAAGCAATTTGCATAACCAGGCTTTGAGTCTCAGAGTCATAGTTAACTCTTCCATCTCCTGCCTTCCCTAACATTGGGACTTGCTGACTTTTCCTTCAAAATGACTCTCAGAGGTGTTCCTTCTTCTCCACCTGTACCTGAGTACTTTCTTAGTTCGCTTAAATTACTTTATTATGTATATTATTATTGTTACCTGAATGGGTCATTTATGAGCTGTTTCTCCTACTAGTGGTAAGATCCATGAAAGCTGAGATTCTATTTCATATTTCTTTTCATTTTTTTTAAACCATATCTATTCAGTAAATAAGAGATGCTCCATTGATATTTATTTAATTCTAAGAGTTTTGTTTAGCTCCCTCCAAATTGGTGAAAACATTACAGTAGGAATCAAAAAGTCCAGGGCTCACATCCCCGCTCTGCCACTACCTACCTGTATGATCTTGGTCAGCTTGCTTCCCTTGTTTGGACCTTAGATTTATCTTTTAAAATGTGAAAGATGGGAGTAGAGCAGGATTTCTTAAACTTGGCATTATCGACATTCTGGGCCAAGTAACTCTGTCGTGGGGTGTCCTGTGCTTTGCAGGGTGTTCACAGCACCCCTCGCCCCCACCCACTAAATGCCAGTAACACCTCTCCAGTTGTGACAATGTCTCCAGACATGGCCGAATATCCCTGGGGAAGGGGCAAAATCATTCCCAGTGGAGAACCACCAGAGTAGACCAACTTATAAAAGCTTCTTAACCTTTTATAAGTCACACATTTCTGTAACCATCTAAGGGAAGCTATGGACCTTCTTCCCAGAACAATGCACACATATATTTAAATAATTTTGCATGCACTTCAGGTTTTTTATGATCCTCAGGTTAAGAAATTACTGACTGATGTACTCTCTAAGGCCCATTTTGTCTCTTAATTTTAAGAAAGTTATTTAAAGGTCTAAGAAAAAGGAACATTTCTCTTATGTTCTGTGTATTGTTTTGGGACTCTGTTCAGATAATGGTTTAGTTTGCATCCGAAATTCACATCTATTAGTTTTAAGTGTGGAACATGTGAATGACAATAGAACCAAGGACTAAATGTTCTCCTAGTGCTGTTGATGGCTCTCCATGCTCTGTGCATAGTAAGTCGCACAAGTCACACTCACAAACAATACACAGTCTTATATACCCATCCACATACTCTGGTTTAAAGAGCTATCGCAGAGATGCTACGCCTTCTGGGAACTTGCTGTTATGAGCACGGAAAGCATTTTACCATAGACTTGCTCTGGCCAATGTATAAAATACAGCACATTGCATTCCCTAGGATTTATCCAGGTCTGCAGTGGATGTAGTGAATGAACGGATATTAATGCTTATAACATACGCTGGATGTGGAATCTCCTCCATCTTCCTGGGAGTTGCATTGGTGACATACATAGCTTTTCAGTAAGTTGATGGAGTCTTCTCTGAGTAAGTTTAATTTGTTTTAATGGACACTGTTGTCATTGTGACCTTGTTTATTTCATGTTAATTTCATAAAAGTTTCCTGTTCATCACAACAGGAAGAGGTCAGATCCCTTAGATTATGAAGTGGGCAGGTTAAAAAACAACCAAGACTCCTGTAAAAAAACAAAAAAAGAACAAGGGTTTTTTTTTTTAAGCAAGAAGGTCGGAATAGGAAAAGATTTCTCTAGAAGGATAGAAAAACACTAACCATAAAAGAAAATGTTGATAAGTTGGACTTCATTAAAATTAAGAACTTCCTTCACCAAAAGATACCAGTAAGATAGTAAAAAGGCAACCCACAGATGAAGATAAGATATTCTCAGTGCATATGTCTGACAAAGGACTTGTATGCAGAATATGTTTTTAAAAAAACTCCTACAAATCAAAAGGCAAAATACAAGACAATTAAAAATGGTCAAAACCAGACACCTCACAAAAGAGGATATCCATGTCTAGCCGTAACCCTTGCCCAAATGGCTTAATAAGCAAATGACAAACTTCTCAATATCATTACTCATCAAAGAAATGCTAATTAAGAGCACAATTATATTTCTATGCACCCATTGGACTGGCTAAAATAAAAAATACTGACAATAGCCACTGTCAACAAGGATGCGGAACAACAGGAAATCTTACATGTTGCTGTTGTGGGTGCGAAATGGCACAGCCCCTTTGGAAAATTCTTTGGCAATATCTACAAAAGATAACTGTACATCTAGATAGCTGAGCCAGTATTGTCACTATTAGAAAGAAAGGAGTGCATATATCCACAGGAAGATATATACAAGAATATTCACACAGCTTTATTCACCGTGGCCAAAAAGTGGAAGCAACTCCAATGTACGTTAATGGTTGACTGGATAAATAAGTTGTGGTATATTCATAAAATGGAATGTCTCACATTAGTAAAAAAGAATAAATGACTTCTATATAATGCAACATAATATTTGAATCTCATAAACATAGAATTGAGCAAAGGAAGCCAGAAAAAGAACAATATACCCTATGGTTTTATTGATATGAAGTTCCAAGTATAGGCAAACCTAAGTCTATGGGGATAGAAGGCAGAATATTGGTTACCTCTAGTGGGAGATACTGAATGGGCGAAGGAATGGAGGAGCCCGCTGAGATGTTGAAAATATTCTACCTCTTGATTCAGGTGGAGGTTCCTCAGGTGTATTCACATGTAAAGATTCATTGAGCATTCTTCTGATTTGTGTACTTTGCTATTTACCTCAATTAAAAGACCCCACATAGACACAAAATAAAAATTGCAGAATTTAAATCAACAAATATTTAATAGAAATGAAAAGAATCAAAGGAAACCATACATATATATATTTTTTCATTTGGAAAATACTGGGTCAGTTTCCACAAAGTACAATTGTGGCCACTTACTGAAACTTAAGGGCTTATTTCCACGATGCCAAATGTCTGGCTCTTGGGAAATATCCAAGTAACTCCTTGAAATGGTTTCCATAGCAATCCTGCTCTTTGGCCATATGTAGATCCAGCGTGAGTCAGCTGAAGGAGTGGTGATGGAGTTATAGCATCCAGGAAATTCCTTCCTTCCTTCTCTCCAAAAGAGAAAAAGAAAAAGGAAAAAAAATGGGGAACTGCTTAGCTGAGAAAGGCTATCATTACTCCTGTTAGGGAAGGTCACTATATTTAGAACACTTCAACTTTACCTGGAAAGATGGTAGAAGACTCTAAAATTCAGTACATGTAAGGTAACATGAGTAATTTAATTTTAATAGGCAATTTTTTACTCTTTATTATGCAGATAAGATGTGGCCATGCTTGATTGAAAGCAGAGGCCCTACTAAACTGAACGTTGTGCCTTTTGTTTTAGCAAACTTCGAAAAGATCACCCTTCCAAAATCCTGATCAACCTGTGCACAGCCCTACTGATGCTCAACTTGGTATTTCTGGTCAATTCCTGGTCGACATCATTTCAGAAAGCAGGACTCTGTGTCTCAGCTGCAGTGACACTTCATTACTTCCTCCTCACCTCTCTGACTTGGATGGGCCTGGAGGCGGTCCACATGTATTTTGCTCTAGTCAGAGTCTTCAACATATACATTCCCAATTATATCTTTAAGTTTTGTCTGGTTGGTTGGGGTAAGTATACCTGCCATTGTCCTGGATGTCTCTCCTTTAAGCCTATGTGTCTTTGTAATTCTAGCTCCACTAGACAGACTATTTGGGATTAAATTCTGTTAGTATCCTGGGTAAGGAATGAGGGATTGCACATTGGCATTTAGGTGGGCATCTCTTTTTCTGCATATACTGCTCTATAAATTCAACTTTTAAGCCCTATGGTGAGGAACTGGCCTGCAGATATTTATTGAGCACCTGCTTGTCCTGTAGCTAAGTGCTGGATCTACAAGAGTGAACCTGTCAGATTTTATCCTTCCCTTTACAGAAGTTCCAACCCCAACAACTACTTAACTGATGTAACAGCCAATGCTTCGGAGCACTTACATGTGCCACACACTATTATAAGCGCTTTACATGATTATCTAAACTTCACAATCTCTCTATGGGAAAGGTTCATCATTATTCCCATTTAATAGATGACAACATTGAGGCACAGAGAGATAAGGTAATTTGCCAAAATTTATGCAGGCAGTAAGTGGCAGAAGTGGAATTTGAACCAGGAGCCTGTCTCCCTAATTCGGACTTCTCACCTCTGTGACCTCACCTATTATTGAAAGGACTGGGAAAGGACTCACAGTGTGTGAACTGGCGCTGATTCTCACCACCCCTCATGACTGTCACTGTCATGGCTGCCCTGTGGAAGAAGCCAGGAGCAGAACGTAGTGTGACTGTTTCCTAACTTGAATGTTGTTTCATTGGCTTGCTTGCCTGTATTTCTAACTGACATGGTCAGCTCTGTTCCCTCCTTCCTCCCTTGGACGGTTCAAGATAGATTTGGGGTTTCAAAGATGTGTTGGTTATGTAGAAGTGTATTCAGAGGCATGTATAGGATACATGGGAAGATAGATTTTATCTTCCACCACTCTGTAAACATGACAGCTTTGTGATTAGCCACTCACCCTGTTAATGAGTTCATTAACACAGTACGTGCTTTCATTGGCCACACAGTCAGTGCTACTCTCCATACTGATGTGCGGAGCAGAGACAGACAAATATGAAACAAAGCCCAATCTCAAAAATGGTTTTAGTACACATTGGAATCCATCAGAAAAACAGAGCCACAAGCACTCAATACACTGCCCTTCATGTGTGGTGGCCCTCATCTCGGGCCAGCCAGAAGACTGGAGGGTGTTGTGGAAGAGGTTTTGTGAATAATCCAAAAAGCAGATAATGCACATATAGCTGACTGTGCAGGGACTGGAAATAAGCAGGCAGTTTTGGATTTCCTTCTCCCTCATCATTGTTCATCCTCAGCTTCCTTCTCACAGCCTTCCTCCTGCGCTTGCTCCCTCACTGTTGGTGTTCTCTGGAATTTGCTTCTTATCTCTCTGATCTTCCCATTCTCCACACACTATGCGGGAGCAGTGAGAGGCAGGAAAGGGTAAGGCTTGGTACTTGGAGGCAAAAAAACTTGGAGAGTGTCAAGTACACACCCAAGCCAAGGCCAAGGCCTGACTAGCTTGGCCACTAAAGAGACAGTGAGCTGCTTGCGGCTTCAGCTGATGACTTAAATGACGGTGAAAGGGATAATAGTGAAAGGTGCCAGCTCCCAAGTCCCTATCCCATGCATTATAAAGAGCAACACCAAAGTAAAAGGGAGCAGATGGCTGCTGCACTAGTTCTTGGATTCCCTGTGGCTGTGGAGCCAGTTCTAAACTGAACCTCAGTGGTTTCGTATTCTGCAGGCTTTGTGCTCAGGGGGCAAGTTACAAAGCCTCCCACCTCCTCAGAACCTGGGAGGTGATGAGAAACTGTGTCCTGACAGCCTCCCAGAGAAGATAGTGAGGCGAGTAGGGGATGGTCTTGGAGCACCTCCTCACAGGCCTGCGGACTTCTGGAATTTGTGCAAGGTCACAAGGCATTCCACCAAAATTCAGATCAGTGCCTGTTCAAGCTTTTGCCTGCTTGGCCTCTGGCGATACCTGCAGTGTCACCAGGGAGCCACTGCAGAGTGTCCCACTACAGGGAGTCTTGAAGCATTTAAACATTAGGCAAATACAATCAACTATAAGGAAAATAAACATTAGCATCTGTTTAACGTTTGAAGTTCTCTCTTCCTAATGTCAAAGCAACCTGTTGAAAAGGTTTTATTCCTTTATTTAAATCCCTGTTTAAGGCAGTAGATTTGACCACATTTTTTTATAACTAATAGGGATGTCTTTTGGTTTAATTAGCAAAGTGTAAACACACCTTGGGAACTGCCTCATAATTTCCATCCTAAATGTGAGGCCTCTCTGCATCCCTTTCTTCTGGACTCCAACAGGTGTTTTTTTTTAAATGTCTACATCATGTGAGGCACTGCTTGGTTGTGATATACAGAAGGGATTGTCTTGTTTATCACAGAATAGGACAGCAGAAGATTTTTTTTCAAGATATTTGGAACAGCTTTGAAAAGTATCTTACAAAACCCCTAAAATGTGTGCGGGTGCAATGTTCTTAGTTTAGGAAAGTTACATTCTTAGAAATGAAGAAACCATTAAAGTTTTGCAAATGCACATGAACTTGGATTTTTAAACCCAATGTCTATACTTTTGTCACATTCGTCCACTTTTAGCTGATTGCTTTATTATGGTCTGGCTGAACTGACTGGTCATTAACTGGTCAATCTAGTCAAAATGTCCAACTAGTAATAAGTGAGGAAAAGCTCCTCTGTCAGAAAAGCTCTGAAAGCTGTGGCTGATTGCCGGTGTCCTTCCTCCAAGGTGACCTAGGCAAAAAGAGACTGGGAACTAAGGGGCAGTATTGAAAGGGGCAAAAAATTGGTAGTCCATCATCTGTGAAGATCTGCTCGATTTGAACTTGCATTCCAATGAACTAGATACTTCTATTGCCAAGTTGAGTTTTTGGCACTTGAGCTATTTTTAATAACCAGTGGGCATTGTATTGGAGCCATTGGCATGTTGTTTAGTTTGGCAGATTGGAGGACTCCTAGAAGTGTTTAACTTGGAAGAATTCACAAACATTTTGCAAACAATGGTATTTTGATGCCTGCACATCTGTGACTCGTTTAAACTGTGTCTTAATGTACCAGCACCCACAGTCATTGATTGGGCTTTCTCTTGCTTTCTGATGGGATGCCTTTGGCTTGCTTCCCCACTCTAGGAATCCCAGCGATCATGGTGGCAATCATACTCAGTGTGAGAAAAGATCCGTATGGAACTCTCATCTCACCGACTCCATTGTAAGTACCAGCATCTCAGCTTCTCAGGTGGTGATGCTCTTGACTATCAGGGTATGGTGGAGGGTGCCTGGCATAGGGTTTGGCTTCAAGGAGGACTCAGCCTCAGCTTTTCCCACCTAAGCAGTCATGGGCACACTCATATAATGGTTAGGGACCTGGGCTCTTTATAACCTTGGGCAACTTACTTCTCTTCTTACTTCCATTACCTGCTCTGGAAAATGGGGATACTAATGTTTGCTTTCAATGTTGTGTGCTAATTAAAATGACATCATGTATATTTTTTAATCGCTCAACATGTGGCCCGTTTCATGGTAAGTGCTACATAACATTTTCTGCCATTCAACACAGGTCTCCCCTGAAGAAGACAACACCATTTTCCTCTGTAAACTGGCTCAACTTTGTTGTCGTGTTGTTTTTCTTTTCTTTTTCTTTTTGATGTATAAGACCATCTCTTTGGTTCTTTCACCTACAGCTACAAAAGAAAGTAGCCATTCACTTCACCCCACCTTTCCAGAACTTTCTTTTACAGGCCTATTGATAGTCACCATGTAGTCCTTTAGACCGCACAGTCTCATTCCACACTTCTGATTGTTTTTTACTTACCCATGTCTATTCTCTTGATCACTGCCTCTCAAGTTCCTTTTTGCTACACATTTCCTCTCCCACTGAACTGAAATCAAATGTGGGAAGTCTTGCCCCCCAAATTCCTCCATATTTCATATTGTGATGACAGTTTCCAGAGGGTCAAAATTATATTGCTCTTTCCAGCAGATACCTTCTAATTATAATTCCTTCTTATCCTTCCTTTCACTTCCTGTTCTCTTCCCTTCCTTCTCATCTCCTCCTCCATCCTCCTTCCTTGCCTATTTTGTGACTTTAAGGGTCCCCAGTGTCTATTAGTGAAGATTTTCTTCAAAGACCAAAAGCAAAAGCAAAACCATAATAAAGCCAACTCCACACCCCATGAAAAGAGCCCTTTCATATGTGAACATAATCAGAATATCACCTTCAGATATATCCAGTACTAAGAGGCAGCGGCTCTAAGAGCTTTTAAAAAACAATTATATTTTGAAGAAGTAATACATACACATGATACAAAATTCCAATGTACAAATGGGTAGAGATGAAAAGTAAACCCCACTGCCAACCCCCAGCCACTGAGTTTCTCTCCCTGGATGCAACTTTTATTACCAACAATCAAATGTATATAAGATACTCTCTGCACCCTTTGCTACCCAAATGGCACATACACACTGTTTGGTACTTAACAGTATGTGTTGGAGATGATTCTCTATCCACACATATAGTGCTCCCCATTTTAAGTTTCTATAACCTCTTTCAAGGCTGAAGATGATTCAGGAAGCCCTAATTATTAGATTCTATTAGGGAAATTAAATATTTTCCCCCCCTCTCTCCCAACACACACAAACACACATGAACTCACCATACATGAAAGTATCTACACCAGCATGAACAATATGATCACAAGGGATTTTCCTGGTTCTGGAAAAAAGGTCTCAGCTAAGTTGACATAGTTAAATTGGTGAAGCTTGTCTATGTTAAAAAGTCAGAGATAATGCCCCAGTAATTGGAAATGTTATTAGGTGAAGTATCTGTTCATACAAATCGGCACATATTTCTTCTTTAATAGAAACTGTAGAGCCATTAATCAGTCCAATGGCTAGTGTTGCCTTTTCCAGTCCAAACCTGTAGCTGTGGTGGGAGGTTTAAAAAATACATCATATTTTAAAGCAATACAACTAGAGCTGTCTTCTTTTTGTTACACGTTCATTAACTCATCACCTCATTTTCTTGATAGAGCATCCAGAAAAGCCAGTCATTCCTCTCATCATTTTACAGTGATATTTATTATGCAAAGCAGAATTCATCCTGCAAATAAAAGCTCAGGTGTAAGGTGCAGGAGGTGGGGGGTGGGGCGGTGAAGAGCCACTTTCAAGGGGTGATGCATAATTTGTTTTTCTACTGTTGAGGAGTAGCTTCCTAGGGAATTGACTGAGAGGTTTCTACATATGTAGGGCAGAAATACCCTCTAGGATTTCTGACTTGAGGCTGGAAAGAACCCTGGTCCAGGGCTCAGGAGTTTGGGGTTCTCGTCCCCTCTCTGACGGCCGTGAGTGTGAGTAGCCTCTGTTAAGATGGCTCATCTTTATGTCCAGATATCCTCAGATGTTGTCAGGTGAAATGAAACAGACTAGGTGATCTTTGGAGTCTCACTGAAAAATATAAGTTTATGTTTCTCTCCATCACAATGGTCTCCTCTTCTTTGTCTCTTACAGTTGTTGGATTAAAGACGATTCTATCTTTTACATCTCAGTTGTGGCTTACTTTTGCCTCATATTTCTCATGAATCTCTCCATGTTCTGCACTGTTCTTGCTCAACTGAATTCCATGAAATCCCAGAGTCAGAAGACTCGGCGGAAGATGATCCTGCATGACCTCAAAGGCACAACAAGCCTGACGTTCTTACTTGGCCTCACCTGGGGCTTTGCCTTTTTTGCCTGGGGACCCATACGGATACTTTTCTTGTATCTTTTTGCCATTTTTAACACTTTGCAAGGTAACTGCTGCTTCTTTGTACTTTCCCTGGCTAGCTGGACCTCCACCAAAACTCTTGCTGCTTTGGAAAATTGTCACCTTTTGGGGATTCAAAGGGAGAAAAGATACTCCAAGAGGCCTCTGCTGTCAACCAGGTGACAGGCAGCCATTGGAAACATTAGCTAGACATTAGGGCTTCATTAAACGAGAGCATTCTCTCTTACCCAGGGACATAGAGTGAAGTCCAGATAGCTCAGTCACCTCCAGCCAGTTGGCAATGTTCACATCAAACCCCGATTGGAAGTGCTTCTTATGGTATTCATTGCATCAGCACGTTGTGCTCGCAAGTGTACAGATTCACATGTCTGTGGACATTTTGAAGTGCACAGACCAGCTGAGAATAGCAATTACTGGACAGCAGAAACATTCAACTTTTGACCCCATATCCTAATATTGTGGGAAGGAGTGAGGCTAGGAAATTGTAGTCATAGAGGAATGAAGATGAGCAAAGAGCAGTGCCCCAAGGCAAGAGGACAAAGTTCTAGTCTTGGTTTTGCTACAAATCGACCTTGAAAAAACCACCACAACTGGTTAAATTAGGTGGTCCTAAGCTAATGTCTCTATAGCTCTCTAATCTCCTTCCTGTTTTCTGGTAAAAGATATAAATGAGAACAAAGTGATTAAATAATAGACCAAAGATGACATGAGACGTAAAAGCTAGGGGTCTGCTTAATATACCTCAGATAAATTGTTGATGTTCATTTTAGCCTGATTTTGCTCATTAAAAATTCTTGGGGGAAGAGGCATGCCAAATGATTTCCTAGGAGTCCCCGGCTCCACGCCATGCTCTTAACCTCAGCTTCAGCCCCACCTATTTGGTCTATGGGGCAGGCTGTGAATGGATCTGGGCAGTCCACTGAGTTAGGGTCTCCCTCACTGCTCTTAACTATTTATTCAATAAACCCTTTCACCAGAGGGCAGTTTACTGGTGGTCCCATAGGATGCTGCCGCAAGAAAGGAGTTCTGTAGTCAAAAAGTTTGGGAAATACAGCAAACTATACTCCCCCATTCTTGAAAGAGTGTAATATCCCTTAGCGTGCTAAAAAATCTAGGAAATTCTAATGGGGGAAAAAAGCCTTTAAAAATGTGTTATAATTCAACTTTTCAAAAAACCTCAGAACATTTTGTTGTGGTTATTAATCCCTGAGGAACCTTGGGAAAAATGAATAGGTATGTAGGCATTTGCAAGGTGCTGCCGAGAGATGGGGGAGCAATCTAGAAGGCATGGTTTTTGCCCTCATATTTTATGATTCAAGAAACTACCCCCATACCAACTGAAACTTCCTGCCCCACCAGATCCTGCCAACCTTATATAGCCATAGTCTGATTGGAATGTAAAAAGACATAAAATGTGTTCCTCTTCCACATGCCATCTTTACTCCTCTTGGTAGTGGGGGGGGGGGAGGTGTTAGGAGCTCTCCACACCACTCTCGCTTGGTTCTCTTTGAGGCTGTCAGCACTTGGTTGTATCCTAGATTGCTGACTGAGGCCCTGGTGATGGTTCTGCACTTGGCTTTTTGACAGAACTGCCTGGCATCTGCCAAGACACCCTGGTCTCAGTAACATGATGCTTTAAGGCTAATCAGCCTTGGCGTAGAATGTGTACAGAAGTGGATTGGGAAGCAGGTGCCCATGCAGATTTCTTCCTCTGCAGTAACTCCAGGCCTCTCTTGAGGAGACTCACCCTGTGGGAAGAGGGGTTAAAGGAAAAGCTGACAAAAGAACCAGAAAGCAGAGCGGTTTAGAGCTTAAAAGCAAGGGAGAGGCTTTTTCCAAACAGCAAGTTCTCCATTGCTATGGTGGAAGAGGAGAGTAGTATCTAAGCAGGAAGCCTATGTGGGTAGAAGCAGAATCCAACCAGGGATCCCCAGAGGATTAAAACCAAAGCCCCGAAGATCCAGCATCAACAGAGCCAAGCTGTCCCTGTCAGTCAGGTATCCTTTATGTCAATCACGCACCAAGTGACCCTAGTTCCTAGTTCTGCCTCCAAGATAGAATGTGCCATTTTACATAGAGGGTGTTTTCAGGTCCTTGAGTTTCAGACTCAGGTCATACACACACACACACACACACACACACACACACACACACACACACATGCACGCACGCACGCACGCACACACTCACCCCAAATACTCAGAACCAGAATGCAATGAAACAAGTGAACAAATTAGCTGTTGAAAAGACCGACGGCAAATTTGCAGTTCTGGCAGAAGGGGGGTTGCCCTGCGGTCAGGTGTGAAAAAATTAGGCTCTCGTGACGAGCCATTTCCAAAGGAGGGATGCACAAATACAAATGCACAAATACAAATTGCCTCCCGTCTATGTTCTAGTGAGTAAGCAGGTCAATCTGTTACTGGAAAGGAAAAGAAAGGCTGTCAGGCAGAGAGGGAGAGCCGGCAGGCAGCTCGTTGGAACTCACATAATAACCTTTAAGTCTGAGAACTGACTGAACTCCACGCAGGCAATCAGAGCAGTGATGGGTGCCTGGAGTCTCTGCTGCGCGTGGCTCATGCTGAGGCTGGAGGGGTCTTACCTGCTCTGAGACTAGGATCTGCTCCCATCAGGCTGCTGCACCACCTTCCAGGTGAACTCTGCTGGATTCATCACCACAGTTGTTTGGTTACAAAGGGAGATAAAGCCCTTGGGAGAACTAGTGAGACGTGCTGATCCATTTAGCCTCCAGATTGCTGCCTCGCACCGGGAATCAGAGTCTCAGGGCTGGGGCCAGGGAACCAAGATCTTCCCAATCCAACTTCCCATCATGTGACAGGAAGTCACATGCCTCTATGCGAAACTTTCCAGAGACAGGTCATCATTCCATAGGGCAGAGCATTTACCTTCTGTCTTTTTTTTTATTTATTGAAATATATGCCATATAACATTGTGGAAATTTAAGGCATACACCATGTTGATTTGATACATTTATATACTGTAATATGATTGCCACTATAGCTTCTAATCAGCTCTGAATCTTATCTGGGTTATCCTTTCCTGAGGGTAATAGAGTGCAGTGGTTAAGATCTTGGGCTGCAGCCAGACTGCCTGTGTTCACCCTGACGCTGCCAGCCCAATATTAGCTCTGTGACTGGGTCAAGTTTACTAGGCTTCTTGGGCTCTGAGGTCTTTAATCTATAAAATGAGACTAATAGTGCAATGCTTAGGATATAGTCATTGCTTAGTAAATACTAGCTGAGATTTGTTATTACATAGTTGTTCTGTAGCTTCCTCTCATTGCTCCTAGCTCTGACCTGGCCACTGCACAGAGCAAGCCTAATTTATCCTTTCCACGAGAGCCCTTTCAGATGTGGGACCATAGCTGTCATCTCTCCCCACCGTATACTCCCAGCTCTGCATTTACTCTTATCCAATACAACACCCCAGGTTTTCTGTTCTTTCCTCAAGTCCACCTCCACCGCTATTCGTGTTCACTCTGTTTTTGAATACTTCCAGTTGTCGTCATCTTCTTAAAACAAAGCCCCCCCAAACTGAGTATGATGCTGGTAGGAGGAAGGGCCAAACTGGGGCACAATGGCAGGAGACTCACCCACCTCAAACAAGACTCTTTACTTCCACATATGCCCTAGCTGAAAAGAGCCCTGGGGGACGTTTACTATTGACTCATGCTCAGCTTTCAATGAGATAAGACCACTTTTATCCATTATTAATCCTTCACCTTCAGGACCATTGGCCAAAGAGGAGGTGAGCTGAACCCTATGGAGAGCAAAGGTTTTTTTCCAACTGCACTTAGGCCAAAAGAAATATTTTGAGGCCAAAGTAGGTATTACTCAGGTTGTAGAGGGGGTGTAAGAGCTTATGTATCAAGTGCCATGGAGTTCAAGTCAACAAACATCCGTTGAGTTGCCACACACAGTATTGGAGGCAAAGGCGGAAGTGATTGAAAGATGGAAAGGGACAATATGTCAGCCCCCAAAGACTCCCCAGCTGCGTGGACAGATGGGCAACACATGGAGAATAATATGGCCACACATAGCAAATATTAAAAGAAACAAAGTGTTGTGGGAGTTCACAAGTGGGAAAGATGAGTTTCAATTTGAGGTATCTGGAAAGGCTTTGTCGATGAAAAGACTTTAAGCATGGACCATAAATAGAAGTCAGGCTGTTGACAGGAGTCCTTTCTGTCAATTCCACCCCAAACTTTAGGTAATCCAGTGGGCCTTCCAGGGCATTTGCAGTCAGGATCATCTGGAACCCTGCCTTTATCTCCCGAGGAGATATTATAGAGGGTGAGGATGGGAAAATGGCCAGTCCTGTGGGCAGATACCTTCAGCACCTTTATCCCACTTGCAGGACAAAATCAGGGCTGGCAGTGGAAAATGAGGACACCAAATTTTTGGTTGCCACAGAGTGTAATTGTGCCAAAGATCATGTGTATTAGTAATTTATTGCTGTGCAACAAATGATTCCCAAATTTTCACAGCCGAAAACAACACACATTTGCTATCTTACATAGTTTCTGAGGGTCAGGAATTCAGGAGCAGCTTAGCTGGGTGGTTCTGGCTCAGGGACTCTTATGAAATTGCAGTCACACTGTCAGCCAGGGCTGCAGGCATCTGAAAACTTGTCTGGGTCTGCCAAATTCACTTCCAGGAAGGCTCACACACATGGCTGTGGATCGGCAGCCTCCGTTCCTCACCATGGAGGCCTGTCTAGAGGGCTGTCAGGGTATCCTCAAGACATAACCCTTGGCTTCCTTTGCAATGAGTGACCTGAGATAGTGTGAGAAGCCACAATGTCTTCTGTAACCTAGTCTCGGAAGCAACATGCCATCACTTCTGCCATATTCTATTGGTACAGTGTGGGAAGATAGTACACGAGAATGTGGATGCCAGGATGGGGGAATCATTGAGAGCCATCTCCGTGGCTGGCTACCGTTACAGGCCTGATATCTCAAGCTCTAGGATGGACAGCAGCCTGGTAGGAAAACTGTGGTTGACATGCAGTCTTGATACAGAACTTCTTGCCATCATTGCCTTTGGGAGGGGAGGCCAGGAAGATGAGCTGAGAAAGCCAGTAATGACCCTGGGGTTCCTTAGAAGGTGTATCTATAGTGACAAGAGTAGACCTGAGTCTGGGCATTGGTGACAGTGAATGAAAGAAACTGAAAAAGACTGACTTCTTCTCCTGGCGTAGGCTTCCTCATTTTTGTGTTCCACTGCGTGATGAAGGAGAATGTGCGGGAGCAGTGGCAGCACCACCTCTACTGCACGTGGTTGCGACTGGATAACTCTTCCGGTAAGATGCCAGTTTGAGTAAGGTTTTGAATTTTACAGGTTTTACAAAGCTGATCAGATTAACTTGTCTCCTGACTTGAGCCTATACAACATCAGCATCAAAATGGAGGCTGTTTCCATGCCATGAAAATGATTTGTACTTTTGTGTGGATGAATGAAGTCAGGTGAAGAATGCGACTTGGGCCATATTTCGACTTAGCGGTTTCTCTTTGGGCCCAGATTCCTTGGATTGCTTGTCCTCGGTGTCACCTCCATTTTGATTCTATTAAAATAAATGGATTGGATGCCTACTGTGTTCCAGACACTATGGCCCATAGCGGAGTGAGTTGAGAGGATGCAGGAAGCAGTGAGTGATGGTAGAGTGGGGAGAACTTGTCAGCATCCCTGTGATGCCTCCCTGATGGGCAGCCCAGATGGACTGGTGGCCCTTCTTGTGCAGTGGGAGACATCATGGACTCTGATGGTGCCTCTGAGAATCTCTAGTTCAGGCAAACTGATTTTTCTATATATCAAAAGGTTCTTCCATCCAATTCAGACAGCTTCTCTCAGTCTCAATGCAAAACCCAGTCTGTTTCCTTAGGGAAGGTAGAGCTTGAACTCGAAGATTCTGTAAGTAGCACAGAGATGTCCCTCCTTTATGCTGGGCATATCAGTAACCCCCTGGTCCCTGTGCTGGGCTTTAGGGAAAGCAGGCATCCTTGGCAAGGGAATTAGCTCTGTCTGAACCACACACTGCAGTACAAACTTACTTCTCACACTTCCACAGAAAGTACCTTGAGGTACCTAGAACAAACGTTCTGTGCATCGAGCTTTGTATTTTTTAACAGGATTATTGAGATGCCATTTATATATCATAAAGGACAGCCATTTTAAGTGGAGAATTTGATGAGTTTCATGTGCTTAACTTTTTTTGGTGTCATTTCAGATGGGAGCAGCAGGTGTGGGCTAAATGTCAGGTGTAAACGGGACAGACTGAAGAAAACCTTCAAGCACAAATTGTTGACACCATCCCTTAAGTCAACTGCAACTAGTTCCACTTGCAAGTCTTTAGGCTCCACACAAGGCACTCCCTCAGAAATAAGCTTCCCACATGGTGAGAGAAAAGGCTGCACTGTCTACACGTAAATTCCAGAGATATTGAATTAATGGGAGGCCACATAAGTGGCCTTGGGAAATAACTTCTTCCTCAAAACTAAATGCACATTTGCATGTATAAACTTGGGCTCATTCTTGACTGAGAAAGTGTGTATAGAAGCATCTAGTGAATTTAGCATGTGCAAATCTGGTGGGTTGTTAGATTAATGGAGGAGAGAAAAGAATGAAGGTCAAAAAAATCATGGGTAATTAAAGGCAATTGTCATAGACTGTTAAAATCAGAAGGAACCTTAGACACTGTCTAGTACAGTATATGCTCATTTTACAGATGAGGTAACTTAAGCAGGACAAGAAAAGTGCCTTATGGACAGTCGCTCAGACCACTAGCAGCAGAATTCAAGACAGGTCTCAGGTCTCCCGGCTCTTGGGCTAGTGCTCATCACACCCCTCCAAGCAGAGTTGCTGAACAGCACAACACTTTCAGATATCACTTTCTTCCAGGGATGCCAAATTTCTAGGCACCCAGACAGATGCAGAGGTGGGGATGGGCGTTGGGGGGGAATGGATTGGCCTAAAGGCCTGAAAGAACGAGAAAGTCAGGGAGGGCAAGAACGTAGGCACTCAAGCTGATGTCGTGATGGCTCTGTTCTCTGTGCTTCCAGTTGGATGATGGTGCAGTGGCCTTTGGCTGCCTTTTCTAAAGACCAAAGTAGACTCCAGTTGACACACACAGAACACTTCTGTGGCCGGGCTGTAGCCGTTCTCCCGCCTTGTCGGCGCTGGCTGTAGAACCGCCTTAGCCACTTGTAGTTTTCATTATGTTGGCTCCTTACAACAGTTCTGTTTCCAAGAGTTGCAGCCCATCTGGAATCAGCATGGTGGGTAAAACAACCACAACAAAAAAAACTCCCTACCAAACTTGGAGTCAGAAGGCTTTGGCTCAAGTCCCAGCTCTGTCACTAACTTGGTGACCTTGGGCACATCACTTCCTGTCTCAGAGCTATATTCGCTCTATGGCCAACACGAGAGGCTGGAATGGATCATCTCCAGAGTGCCTACCCACTTCCGGATGGTGTGAGGCAATGCTGTTTTCCAGTTTAGGCTGTTTGACGAGTGTTTGGAGTCTCTGTCTTCATTTCTGTATGGGACAGTTGCCGCATATGAAACAATCTTTCCTCTGCCACAGCATCCATCAAGTTCTGGCCAGCTAACTTGAGGATATGCTCTGGTGCTCACATGGAGGCACTGGGGAGCCATGGCATATGGGGGCAGGGGTTGTGGAAGCTCCTTAGTAGCTAAGAGTTAGGGCTGATTGGAGATACCATTTCGCAAAAGTGTTAGTTAGCATTGACTCCACTGCTGTCCCTGGGGGATATTGTTTTCATTAGCAACTATGGCTCAAATGAACATATTTTTCTTCGGGCAAGCAGTAGTAAATGCCATGTCCAGGATTTTAATGTTGTACCAAGCAGTAGATTGGGAGAGCCAAGCGGCCTGGAGTTGTGACAGTAACTCAGCCACAGGCAGATAGTCTAGCCCTTTGGACCACAGGCTGTAAAAGTGCAATCTAAATGCTGTCATCAGACTTGTAGCAGCCGGAAGCTCCATTTCCATGAGCACAGAGAACAAAATTGCACCCTCTGAACCACTGTACCCTCCCAGGCTTGAGAAACAGCTAAACCTTCAGAGGAAGAATATCACATTCATAGGGAGTCTAGATATGTGCGTGTTATCATTTTATGTGGTCTCTTCCTGAAGGTCTGCAAGGTTTGCCCATGAATATCCTCCCCTAGGTTAAGGTTACCATGCATAGCATAACCTGTTATTCCAAACACATGCACTTGTAATTGCCTAAACAGTGCCATCATGATGCATTAGTTCACCCCAGATTTGTATTAAACTATCCAGGGAAAGCACCACAACTTCGACTTCCTTTTTAATTCCTGCATTCATTCCTTCATTCGATAAAAATGCCTAACGCTTCTACTATGTGCAAAGCCGCCAATGCTATGGCTGAAACTATTCTTTTTTCCCTTAATGCAGATGACTTTGATGAAGATCCCTACAGTTTCTCTACCTTGAGTTGTGAAGTTGTGCCTAATTCTCTGAAAGGAATATTACCTGTGGAAATGAAAATGAATTCCATTCACAGAGATTTCTTCAATAATTCCCAGCAGAGATTCTCGCCTGCCCCCACCACCAGATTAGGGAAAATGTTGAATTTGTGAATCGATCTGCTTCAACTTCATATTCTACTTATTATTTTGGAAGATGCAGAATCAGATAGCATTTAGTAAATGTTAAAGTCAGACTTATTCTCCTATTCATTTTATAGTTGTTTCTTTTTCTAGATAAGATCTGAGTTTATAGTTATATTAAAGGAGAAATGTCTACAGCATTGAGGATTTTATTTAAAAAACTCCAAGCATCACCATCTTAAAAGAAAGAAAATCAAGATCAGGATCTTTACTGCACTGGGAGCCAAACAATTTCCAGGTGGCCAAAGTTTCAGGGGACCCAGCTGGCTTGACACCCACGGGGAAGTAGATAGGAACAGTCACAAGGTCGTACCTTTTGGGAAAAATACTATCCTGTTGGCCTGTCGTGACAAACACCTGAAATCCCCATTACTCAAGTCACTCTTTTGATTGAAGCCTCTTGTTAAAATGTAAAGATGTTTTGTGAAAAGGGTGGCTCATCAATCCACAGATACCATGAATTCCTTAGTAGGGATGAATTTCTCTGCCAAGACAGCCCTTGAGAGAACAGCAAGCAGGATCCTGAGGGAGGTAACAGAGAAGAAGCTGGTGGAAGCTGGTGGTCCTCCCCAGGGAGGAAAGGACAAGTCAGGGTGAGCAGGGCAGTAGGGATGCAGGCAAGAAGACCCCAAGACAATGGAGTAAACATCGAAGATGGATTTTGGCTGCTTTTCACTCTGTGACTAAGCGCAGTGGACAGTGGATGGACTTTTCTCATCCCAAATACTACCAGTGAGGCTTGCCAGCCAGGCAGGCTGCCCACATTTGGCCTTTGGTAGAAATGAGTAATGAAATGAACATTCTGGAAGGATATACAAGCAACTGGTATGAGTGGTTGCCTTCGGCAAGGAGAACTGGGTATCTGAGAGCAAGGGACAAAGGGAGGTTTACTTTTCACCCTATACCTCTTTATATCTTTCAAATATTGTACTGAGAGAACACATTTCCTCTCCAGGCAATAAATAAATGCATACATACACAAGTAAAGACAATCAGACCCTTCCAAAGAGAAAAGAGACAAACTCCTGGGTTTCAAGGCCATAAATCAAGTCTGCCATTCCCCTTGTGAATATGTCTAGGGCAGTGGTCTGGGCAGACAGCTGAGCTGGATTCAAATCTCAGCTCTGTCACTTACTGGATGTGAAACCTGGGGAGGTAACAGTAATAATAACTTCACCACAGAGGTCAAGTAAAGCTTAAGCAAGATGAGGTATATAGATATTCTAGCACAGTGAGACACAGTAAGTCTTAACTCCTTTCTTTCTAAGCCACCCACACTCACCTCTCACTGCCTCATGGCCCCACCCACCACATCTGCCCCATTAAAGACACCACGTTGGATCCTCTAAGGGAGATTTAACATTGACTAAATGGACCTGAGGGCCAGGGACCATCACTGGTACAAAGGCTCTTAGACTACCCTTTGCCTCCGCTACCATCCCACGTAATGTAAAAAAAGGACGTAGGCCCTTAGGCCCCTGGATATCTGCCTCAGAGTCAGTCCCCTGACCTATGAAGTTTTGTCCTGAGGAAATCCCACAACCACTACTTCCTACAGGTCCTTACGGGTACTTTTTTGTGGAGGAAAATGAGTATGTGAGTGTGTATGTGTGAAAGCACTAACGTAAGTGATAAAGTGTCTTGAATGTTCGAAAGTGTCTTTGAACTGATAATATTAAGTCACCTTCATTCACAACCAGATTTAGGGACAAGACTTGGGTATACTTAGCCAATCTGCAAATATAGGCATTCTGCAAATGCTTTGATTTGGAAGACCGTTTTGGCTGTGAAAATGCCCGTGATAATATTTATTTTCAGCCAGTAATAGGACTGATTGTTCTGCTGCTGCCGGAGTGATGAATGTCCAGCTTGCCTCTAATGACCTGGCATGCTGTCAAGAACAGAAACATCATTTTATAGAAAAGTTCATGATTTCCATCATGACTCCTCCTGCTAATTAGTAAAACATGGATTTTCCACAAACTAGATGACACTTTGCCATTGTAGGGCAAACACCAATTAAACATCTTTCAGGCAACCTTTGGCTGCTCTTCCTGGGCCCACAAAATGGCTGACAATGGTGCAAAGACAGACACCTGTGATTATGGCAAAGAGACCCTAGACCCTTTGAGCTGCTTTCAATCATAAATAAATCCCCAGGGATCCATTGAGCCCCAACATGGAGAGAAAGATTCAGACATCTCAAACTTATGTCACTACCTCCAGCAGCTTACTGTTTATCTGGGGAGACCAGCTACACTTCGGAACAGTGAATGGTGAGAACAGCGAGGATGTGGCGGAAGGGACGTGCTCCCCAGCAGGAAATGATGGGGGCTTAGTCAAGCTGCAGCGGGCTATTCCAGGCTTGGAGGGCAGCAGCTTGGGTAAGGCAGGATTCCATTTCTCAATACCATAGGCAAATGCTCTTCATTAAGTACTGGTCAACAAATTTACAAAGCCCCTTGGAACCTCAGGGCACGGACTCTGGGTTTTTATTCTCTGCTGTGCCCTAAGTACCCTGTGGGCAAGCTGGCAAGCACTGAATTGTACTAAACTCCTTCCAGAGAAAGTTTGAGGAAGCTCCTGCCTAGGACCCTAATCCTTACTGTTTGGTCAGAAGTCCCAAAGGTGACAGTAACCATCTGTAATGGCCCATCTCCTCTGCAACCACGGATATGGGCAGGTTGGGGTCTGGAAAGGTAAGAGGAAGTAAGGATTGTATCTTCAACAGCTCAGGCCTGTGGTTAACCGGTGTGTTTCTGCTCTTGGCCTTCAAGCATTTAGGGGACAGAAGGAGTTTGGAGCAATGGAGGAAGGACCTACCTAGACCTCTGTTGATTAGGCAAAACAAATGAAATGGATTAAATTCATACATATAATGTCTGGCACCTCATAGGCACTTCATAAATATTTGTTGTGTGGGTGAATGAATGAATGGCCTAAAATAGAGTCGATGAAAACAATGGCTGACTTTTCCTAATCCTGGGTTTCTTATCTTAGTGTTCAGTAGACCTATGTTCTCCACTAATATGTAAGCTTCAAAGACAGAACCTGGTCTGTCTGGGGGACTGCTGTACTCTCAGTGCTTGGCACAATGTTTCATTAATGGTTCTTTCATTGCCAGCAACAGAAACCAACTGTCTTTGAGCTGATGGCATTGTCAAGTCCGGTTACCCAAGGGAAAGAGAACTGATTGAAAGGATTTTGAAAACTCAAATAATTTCTGCCAAGGTTAAAGAACAGAGCTTGTAAAAGGACAGAGGTCTACAAATCGGGAGCCATAGGGGAAGTCTCCTAGCAGGGAAACTTCTTGTAAGGTCATCACGACTGGGAAGAATAAAAAGGAATTTCTTCTGTCCCCATGTTACTAGCTTAAGGTTCAGAGTTTCATGAGACGGCTTCTGATTGGCTGAGCTTAAATTTTGTTTTGTACTGAGCAGTCAGAGAAGGGAGGTGGCAAAAGAAACCTTCAGGGATCCCTTTGGTTTTGATAGTGGTAGGACAGGAGCTTAGATTTACCATCCCCTCAAGAATACTCATACTGGGGGAGAAGTCATGCAGCAAAAAGAAATGAGGGTGTGGTCAGAAATGGATGACTAGGTGGGGCAAAACTCCCATACATACCCTAAATGTATTTTGGTTGGATGAATGGCCAATTCAGTAACATACTTTTTCACTGAGGGTGGAGTAGTATTAGAAGAGGAGGTGACTCCCCCACTCTCTATGTCTCAGTCATGTTTTCACTTGCTTTTTAAAGGCTACAGCATATCAGGATATGTTGAGAGAGCTGAAGAGTTCAGCAGAAGCATCCCAGAATGATAAAGAAGAGTACTGATATAAAAAGTGATTTTTATGCCTATCCTTTGTGCACTAATATGTGTATTTATTTTGGTGCCCTCTGTTTATCCAGCATTATTTCCCCCCAGGAGTTCAAATTATTTTCTCCAAGATAATGAGAGAGCAATAAGAATTCAATTAAAGTTTAGACTAAATATAGAGGTTAGACTTTTAAAACACTAAAAATAAAGTGATGTTTAGAGATCTGGGTACACACATTGACCTCATTCTAAGGCAAATCAATGCATGAACATGCACTTAATGATTTGCCTATGGAGTTGCTGCATCTCTCCAGAGGAGCCCACAACTAATTCTTTTGTGAAGGTACTTCACCATACAGCTTTCTCAAAGTCCTTCCAAATTTCTGAAAATATATTTTAATCCCAAGTTCTAGGTCCCTTCAGCTTTGGTTAGGGAGGGCTCAGTTGTCAGAGCAGAAAACAAGGAGAAATGCTGTTATCCATTCTCCATCTCACCATGCTAATGGCAATGGCATGATATTCACAAAGTGAGAGTCATAGACAGGGGGAGGCCTAAGGCATTCAGGGCCCTGCACTACAGGATTCTGGTGTGAGCATTCCAAAGAGACCCGGAAGAAATCAGTAAGTGGCAACTTCCAATATAAAAAAAAAATTGTCTCATCCAAGTACATAAGAAAACTACAGATGTTTCCTTAACATATGCAGTCTTATGCAAATGATTATGTAAATGAAATAAAAAGTTGGGACTGGTAAATTGCCAAGTTTCCAAGATTTACTTATGTTAACCTACTATTCATCATAGCAACAAAGTTGAGGGTTTTTGCTTATTCCCCATACCACTTAGATGTGACAGGAGACAAGACAGAGAGATATGCTACCTTAATAGGGTGAACACATTCATAGCAGGGGACCTGCCAGGTAGATGGTTAGACTGATAGATAGTTTTCACTTGCAAAATGTTAGCCAGCTCATCCATCATGCTTAGTTGGTTGTGGGCAGCAATGGGACTAGAAATGGAAATGAATCTGAGTTGTAGTGAATATTGATGAAAGCCTAGTTCATGCAAGAAACATTAAAAAACAAATCCTCAGCCCACAAATTCCCAAATGAATGGGAAACTTCAGGGGCAGTTCCAGGCGGAGAATAAAGACCTAGTGCAACAGGCTCTGTCAAATCTTCAGACACTGGCCCTTTCAGGGGTAGAGACATAGGGGTTACTTCACAATAGATCAGACTTCCCCAGGTGGAATCATCTGGGTCTTCAGTGGACCGAAGAAATCAGGTTCTGAAGGCTGACAGCAAGCTGGCTTAGCTGTCTTCCATCCAGAAAATATTCTTCCCAATCCCTCTCCCCCTCCTTTATTAACCTCAAATGGTAATGTAATACACATACT